GTCTAATAGTCTAATTAATATGCTTTCTTCCCTCTTAACCCCTGACTACCGCATATGCAATTAGTAGCAGGTGATGGTAGGACTCCATTTTCTGGCCATACACAGGCCCTTGTTAGAAGCATCATAGAGTTGCACTAACCGTGTTTTGTTTAGCATGAGGGTTGTCAGGTGTGTGTTTTGGACCATCAACACTGGTATCCTTTGCTCGGTGTCTTGTATCTGCCTGTACTCACTGGTACCCACTGACATTTTTGCTTAGGAACACAGCAGCATTTTTATCTCCTTGTTTGGGGCCTAGACGGGCAGACAGTTAAGTGAGAGAGATTCTTGTTGGAAAAACAGTACTGATGGAAATTAAAGAAATATATAATTCATGCTATCATGTGCCGAAGTGTCCGTCTGCTATGTACATTGGACAAACGTCTCAGACACGTCGCCAAAGGATCAATGCCCACAAAACAGATATTAGACAGGATCATAAAGAAAAAACAGTTTCTTGCCATTTCAACCAGAAAGGACATTGTCTCGACAACTTGATTACCTGCATCCTGCTTCAAAGACCTTTTAAGACTACACTTGAAAAAGAATCCTCTGAGTTGTCATTCAGGCTTAAATTCGACACTTTACACCTAAGCTTAAACAAAGACATCAATTATCTTACCCATGACAAAGCTAGCCTCCCCAGTTATCACCTCTAATATCATTAGCTCACAGACATTTACTTTCCTCCTCCCCCCCATCCCTCTTCTTTTCTGAAATTTGATTGTCCTTTTCATATGTGTTCATTTTTTTTAATTGTATCCTTTGGTATATATCCGTGGTCCCCAACCCGGTGCTCACGGGTGCCATGGCTATCATTTATGTGCGCCATTTATGTGCGCCCACGGAGCAATCTGGGCTGGCCCAGCCCTGCCCCCAGGTGTGCGGCAGGTGCCAGCCCCGGGTGCATGGCCGGCCCCAGCCCCGGGTGTGCCGCGTGTGCCGGTGCCGACCCTGACCCCCCCCCATGTGTGCTGCCCTGGATCCTGCCCCCCACCCAGGTGCTCTGCCCTGGCCCTGGCCCTGGCCCCGCGGAACCTGGGCAGCCGGTGCCGACCTCGGGCGTGCGGCGCATGCTTGGCCCCGCCCCCAGTCACATGGCCTGTCAGCGGCCCCGCCCCCATACGCGCAGCATGTGAGCGGCCTCGCCCCCAGGCGCCCGGCAGCCCCAAAACGTTGGGGACCACTGGTATATATGGTTGTGACAATTTTCTTCCACTGTTTGATCTGAGGAAGTGGGTCTGGCCCACGAAAGCTCATCACCTAATAAACCATCTTGTTAGTCTTTAAAAGTGCTACATAGTCCTGTTTTTTTAAATGAAACATGGTGGAACTCACCAGAACACTGTCCAATCTAGTTTTAGATACTCCAATGGAGGGAGCTCCTAGTATTACCCTTAGGAAACTATTCAACATTCAAAGTGATCCTCCTGGAGGGAAGCTTTTCCTGGTAGTCAACCTCTCTTTTTCACACTTTAACCTGATGGTCTTTTCTCTGTGCATGCAGGGAACATAGACCGTCAGAGCTGAGTTAACCCTCTAACAGTAAAAAGCAAAATTCTATACTTGTTACTTCATGTCATTGAGAGGTTTGGGGCCAGTTTCAGTAGCTGGATCAATTACTTTCTTTCTAAAGCATCTGGAGTGGTTTAAACACCAAGTAAACCACTGATACCATGATTTATTGGCCAAGACGATGTAACGTAGCCTATAAATTTTTATTATAATGACTGTACTTATCAGAACAGTATTTTCTAAGCCTTGGGGATAGAGTTACGTGGATTTAGTGTTTGGAGGGGAAGAAGGGTTGCCTGTTGAGTCTGAAGCCAATTACCCATTGATTTTTTTAAAATGCTATAATCAATTTCTTTTTCAGCTGAGTTCTACTTGGAGTTGGCTGTTGCATGTCTATTTGTAGCATGTCTTAGAGGAGGAGAAAGTGGTGACTGAAGCAGTGTGTAATGATCTGTAGAGCTTTACAACATCTGCAGCTTGGATTTTCCTTCCCTAGTATCCCTGCCAGACTTAACTCCTTTGTGAGTTTCAGATATCCTCGAAAGAAGAATTGCACAGACCATGCCACATGTACTCTCCCAGTCTCACACTCATCTTGCAGCTAGCTTTTAAAAGGAATGTATTAGAGTTGGTGGTGTGACGTACCTGGTGCCCTTACAATATTAATCATACTGGTGTTCCTTTCAGAAGTTGTGTTTCTCCAGCTGAGAGCCACTGACCCTTTTTAGTACAGTCACCAACTTCCCTGCACCAAAAAAAAAAAAAAAAATACAGCCACCAACTTCCCTGCACCAAAAAAAACAAACAAACAAAAAAAACCCTAAACTCCACACCAGGGGATAAGGAGGGTCTCTTGTTTTTACTCTACCACCTAGTCTCGCCTATTGTTTGAGATTCTATATTGAGCATATGGAAAAACTATTATTTTGCTAAAGTAATTGAAAATATAGTCCACTTCTTTCCTTCTCTTCATGAAATTTATTCTGCTTTTATGCTCGGAATACGTAGACAAAGTATCACTACCAATACAGTGCATGCAGTCAGTTTCATCTTTGGTCTCTATTTCCAGTTTAGTTAATTGTGCTAAGAAACAAAGTATTAAGACTTGGCTGCAGTTTTAGGAGCAAAGGCTGCAACTGTGAGTTTTCCTCTAACCTGCTTGTATTTAGTAAGGATCCTCTCTTCCTTTCATTTTACCTGGATTCAGAGATGTGCAGGTGGTGGGACTCTCCGGTAGTTTCTTGTCTTCACTCCCAAACACAATGACCATTTCCAGAATCAGGGGGCTCTCTTACAACTCAGTTCTGTCTATGCAAAGAATTTTCCATCTGTTGGCATAATGTCCCCCACCTTCACTGGGTTAGGACCATCCCTTCCAGTGGAATTGAAGGCTGGGTTTGGAGCCATGATAAGGCTGAGTGACGTGTCACTGAGCCAAGCATTATTTGTTAGTCAGTTCACCTTAGCTGCAATCAGGGGTGAAAAATGAAGTGTGTGAAAGGGGAGAGGGAAAGCTAGCAAAGGAAGCTGTGGTCAGATAAATGTTGAAGACCATGGGTGCCTCCCCAACCATTGCTTTGTTTGTAAAACGGTTTGAGATTGAAGTCTTAGGTGGTGCAATTTGGTGATTTGTGCCCGTTGTGGCTGCCTCTTGTCTACACATCTGATGCTCTCTCCAATCCATTCAGTGACAGAGGCTTGTTCTGCTAGCACTGAATCAACCTTGTTAACCCAGTGACAGCGTCAGGTATGTCTTCACTGCAGAATTAACTCTATTGATGGGTACCCAGGCCAAAGTCTGGGTTTAACGCGTCACTAAATTAAAGTGAGAGGGTATGTTGGAGGAGTGCAGAGTTAAGAGCAATATTCAAGGAAGAACTCAGGCTAACTCTGCAGTGAGGCGGTATCCTAAGGTTATGGCTGCACTGCAGAGTTAACCTGGGTAGTGGCTCATTGGCAGTGGTGGATTTACTATTGGGCCAACTGTTCCCTAGCACCAGGCCCAAGCTCAGAAGGGCCCCATTTCTTTCCTTTCCTCCCTGCTGTTGTGTGCAGGAGGAGCCTGTAGGGCATGTTGGGAAGCCCAAGTTACTCAGGGAGCTGTAGTTCCTTGGCTAGCTCCCTGGCTACGAGCCATGCTGTGAATGGAGAACTGGCTATTAAAAGGGCTGGTTCTATTAATGGGGAACATGTTTGCACAGGAAGTAGGCAGCTTTGGTCCAGATCCCACCCTCAGAAGCCTTCCTCTAGTGGCCTCGCTTCATCACCCCCAAAGAAGGAATTGAGGGGACTCAGTGGACAATTCTCCTCTGTCTGAAGCCTAGCAAGGGAGATTTGTGGACCCCACCAGGATATGGAAGAGAAGGTTCCACTAGAGGCCCTGGGCAGCTTTAAATAAAATACCAGGCACACACAAGGATTTGACAATATTTCCACAGACACGGAAGCAGAAATGGGCTTTTCCTTTCCAGATTTATCTAATATTTGTGCAGTCCCTGAGCCAACAGGGGACACTGCAGGCCTGAAAAGCAGAAGCCCCCAGAATGGCAACTGTGCAGCCCCTGAGCCCAATGGGACAGAATGTATTTGAAGTTTATTTCTATTTAATAAAGTAAAGCCCCAGCAGGGGAATTTTTTTACACCCTTTCAGATGGTGTGGAGGTCTTATGGAGCTCTGAGGAAAAGGGAAACTGAGGCAGGGAATGCCCACAGTGCTACATGAGGTCTGGAGGGAGCATTATAAAATAGGCATATCCTATGAGAGGAGAATTATGGGATGGTCATTGGAAGACTTCTGCTCCGTTGGAGGATTTAGCCTGCATCCCCACTGCTCACTGGGTAGTTCCCAGTCAGCTGGATTGAAGTTGTGTTCTCATCCACCCCTGCTGGGTCAGCTAGTCAGGACTGAAAACACCTCCAAATCTAGAGCAGGTGTTTTTTTTCTGTGTGGACAGAAGGTGGGATTCGGGAGCAAGAACCAGCTAAAAGTCCAACTGAATTCTTTATAGCTATAGCCATAATGTTTTCATTTCATATCTCTTCCCTTTAAAGGGAGGCAGAGTGTTTGACCAGTCAGCAGAAATCACAGGTAGCTGTGATATTTAGCTGCTGACACTTGTCTAACCTGACTAGAACAATTCTGAAATACCGAGAAGAGCTTGTGGC